CCACATTATCAGCGGTACATAACCGCTACTCTATACCAATTTTCGTTACGGCCTGTACCACAGTAGCTACCGCACACGGATGAGTATCGTTGTTTAACAAGACACTCATCGACAACATTAGCCACGCATTAGGATTTTTAGAAAAACTCTTTGCGCTTATTCCGGCGTCAAAAGTTGATGAGAAAACTTTTACAGGGAGAGTGAAATCAAAATTTTTTAAACTTCCTAGTACCGAATCCAGGGAGACTGATTCTTACACAATTCCACGTTATATGACAGAAATGGATAATGTGGTCATTTGATACCCGTGGGCTGAGAATGGGTATCTTATCACGATTACCGGAATCAAAGCACAGCTTTGAAACAATCACATCCTTTTACATAAATAATATCGAAACAACTACCTTTCCACTCATCTCGCGTCCTACTTGGATTATCATTCAAGTCGAACGAGGATGTGGCGGTGGGTTCGTCGGAAGCATCCACATAATCAGCAAAATAAGGATGTGCCAAAGCCTGTTCAACGGTAAGCCTGGAACAATACGATAGCAATCTATTCCCGTTAAATGCATTAATATGCTCTAATAAAAAAGCCAAATCGTATAGAAGTGAACGAACCTCTTTTCAGGATCCAGCACCAAAATTTTGTCAAGAAAATCCACGAACAAACGAGGACATCCAATAAAACGCTTGGCGAAATCTTGACGCTCATGATGTCGATACGATTCGACGACACGCCGCGTAGCCGGACTATTAGCCTCTATCTGGAGGAAAGAGGTGATATATAAAGCTCGTAATGTCAGGGTAGATGTTCGTTGAAAAGCGCCATTATTGCCGGCATAATGCATGCCATTTAAAACGCAGGTTAGCGGTACACAATCGATCAACTCCGAATAGGGGTGAATGAAAAGCAAAATCAACAATGGACGTAAGTTCACGAGGAAAGTACCTTTCTCATTAGATCATCGTCAGGACTGCCGCATAACTCTGTTATCATTTCATATTGTGCATTTGCTGAAATTATGAATTTTCAGGATAGTGATCTTCTGGAGAAACTGTGAAACTATTTAGAGAAATAAAAAGAGATCGTGGCTAAACTCACTATCTTCACCAGGAAATAGCGGTTTCCCTAACATCAATTCAGCCGTTATGCAGCCAACTGACCAGACATCAACTAAACAATGCACATTACAGAAATGCACCTCAATGAATATCCCTTTTGCTTGCTAGTATCCTTACCCAGGCTTGGCAAAATAAAATCCCTTCGAATTTTCTTTGTCTTTCCGAGCACCCTGAGAAAAGGCTGTAAAGTAAGTACACTGAGAGTGAAGAGACCGCGCAGTTAAAAAACAATAAATCTGAAGGGATCATTTCTCCCCGGCCCTTGAAGCAGCAAAATTGGTAAGTTAGCAAGGTAAACGAACAAGTTAGATTAACAGACAGTGTTACGCCTACCATCGCTCAGCAGCACGTCATAGCAGCTGCCAGCCTCCAAATTTTTTCGAAGTTTTCTTAGTCCCGCAACGCTACCAATTAATCACCCTGCAGTGCCGCAGTTGGCGATTATTGAGAAATCAAGAATGGCGATGACCCCCATGAGGAAGGATCAGGAGTTTTTATTCTGGTTGCATTGCCAGCATACCTGCGATAACAGAGACGCAAGCATACTTTGGGAAGGGAAACGGACCTGCAGGGATGAAGAAGGCGCTTTGGAGAACAGCTCTACCTACAACATGGCATGACTTATGCTCAAACGCCTAAGATGTAGAACACCATTGCTTTTTGAGCAGTTCGGTTAAAAATAAAGATACAAAAAACTCAACAAAACTCAAAGAAAATATAGAAACTTCTGTGCTTACCTTGCTCGTTGTAGCCGTCAATATTCCAGTAAATTACTTCAGGGCTACGATACCATCTAGTCATAACATATTGCGTGAGTGAAGTATCAGTTCGTTCCAGGGAACGTGCCATGCCGAAATCCAACACGGTAAGGTCACTATCACATGTCAAGGCCAGATTACCTGGCTTAAGGTCCCTGTGAATTATCTGCAAAAGAAATATGAAATTCAAAAGTAGCCAGGACGGGAAATCATTGGGATGCTCCCAAGAGAAAAAACCCACATTTGCAGAATGTATGTATTTCAAAACCCTCAGAAGTTGATAAATAATGAAAGGAACGTGTTCAGGAGTGATATGGACTCTTCCAGTTACTTTTTGATCGTGTAGAATTTTTACAATACTATCGCCAGCGTATCCTGTGACAACATATCTGAAAATAGAAGTGTTAATATCACAAATAGAAAACTAGGACATGCTATGAAGCTGTCAAGCTGTTCCACTTCCACTTATTCATGTCTGTGAATTGAATGTATGGTTGTTATCATGTCGCCTTAACCCAACACTGATTTCACTTTACTAAGTTCTGTGTAAAGCAGCAAGCTAATAATTGAACATCTACTACATCAAGAACTAGTATAATGACTTACAATTCCTTGAATTCGTGCTCCACATTATTGGGTGTATACAGATCAATAGCTCGAATGACACCATCATGTCGCATGATTTGCAAAAGCTTAATCTCACGATAAATCATGCGCGCCTAAATGTTGAAAGTCGTGTTAGTGGACACAAAGATAAACAAACGTGCTGTCACCCAAAAGCATCCAAAAAGGATAAAAGCATACACCTTGATAACAAAGTTCGTACGACCTGCTTTCTTGTCAATCAAGGCTCCAAATTAAATAATTAGGAATATTTCAAGGTTGCTCAAAAAAGTATCAATTGAAACTCTTTAACAGCCCAAGACGATGCGTTTTCTCTAGAGCACCGCTCCACTATCACAACAGGTGTACGTTGGCATTACTAACTTTCTACGGTAGTGAGCTCGGCCTTCAAAGTGAACCAGCTAGTCGAAGAGTAGGCCACCAATGCGTACTCCACCCAACAACGTGAATGGCACACACTATCAAAAACATAAATTCAGCTTTTTTTATGAGAATGCCAGAGATTCCAAGCTTTTTCATGAGACATGCCGGAGACATTTACGAGAATATAACGAGACAAGATTGAATATTACGACTGCGGACGCAGGAAGTCTTTAATATCGAGAGGAGCTCCACACAGAAAAGAAGATATGAACGTGACCGGATGCGAACAATGAAGCGAAGAACGACGAGAAACCCTTTGAGAACTAACTTCGCAAGTCAGTTTCCCAAATACAGCGTTTAGGCACATATCAAAGCCATAGGAAGCAATGATGCCACTCACAATTTACAGGTTCAATGATAACGAAACTTGAGTGATAAATCAGAGCAAACTCAATAATAGCTTTGCCAGAAAATGCGTGGACGAAACCAACCTGAGCATTGTCTGAGAATGGATCCCTGAACTTCTTCACTGCGACTTCTCGGACAGCTCCATCGCGACATTTGACAGTAGTTTTGCTGAAAAGTTTCTCCTCAGCAGAGTGCACCTGCACCGCCTTATCAGCGTCTTCAAAACATTCATACAAGCTTATGGCAGCAATCTATTTTTGCAAGCGATGCCTGCAGGATCATAAATACAGTGGGTATTTTAACCAGAATATAGAGAAAGCGTGGATGATACTGTTAAAATCCAAGTTATCAAAGGACTTACATCACGTTCCCATAAGCACCAGAACCGAGGAATTTGATATCTTCTCGAGAAGTCGAATAGCCTTCCGGGAGTGCAAAATTCACCGTATTCACAGGTACGTAATTAAACCTTCGCTGAATAGGGAAGTGATCAATTGGGATCGTGCTACCAGTTGAGGCAGACTGCTGATCCATCGTCTGCGGATCCAGACTGGGGCTCGTCGTCTCTGTCTGCGTCACTGCCACTGGTGTTGGTTCTTCAGAACCATTCAGAACATCGTCATTGTTTTCGGGGGAGTCGTCCTCGTAGGGAGTCGCACTCTCGCCCTAACATGAATAAATTTAGAACAATTTCCAGTGAATCCTTTGAAATTAATACCATGTTTGAGGAACAAAATATCACAAGAATGCGCTGAGTTTACAACCAAATATGGCGGTGATGCATCAAAAAACGAGCCGCCGGTAGGTCTCAATGATATGATGCAATGTTTCTCTCGATGTAACGCTTCAAAGACTTGGGTGGCCGCGCGCAGCTGTTTGGGAATTCTTGGGATAACTTCCACTACGTGAATCAGCTTTTGCATTCCTGTTTCGATGAAAGGAACTCGGATTCACAAGCAATAAAATGCTACAAGTGACACAACCAAGTTCCTATCGGCCTCTTTCTGGAACTTACGACCTGGTTAATGATATTCTATTTAATAGCGGTGCTTCATCGCCATCCGCGCTTTAGTAATAGTGAATTCAAACTTTAAATATGAGATTATGTAAGCTCAAGCATCTTAAAAATATGCCGCTGACACGGAAACTATACCAAGATTGCAAAAAGCAACAAATTTCCGGTCCTTCAACATTCTTCCTGTTGTTTGTGGACCATGAAGAGGTAAGCCGATAAAAATAAACTGCCATTAGTGGCACTAAAGCTTGCGCTCCAAGAGTGGCTGGGTGGCTAGTTTTTCAGAAAAGATTGAAAGATAGAGACTGTAAAAATTCCTTCACCCATTATTGACTTTTCAAATCATTACGTTCTGATCTAAAAAGTCTTGCTCATGTCACAGACGCGATCACCCTGTCGAAGTCAAGTGCGAACTCTCAAGTGCAGACTTAACAGCTACTCTACAAGTGCTCTTTTCACAAACGAAATATAAGGTTAGTAAAAATACGCCATAGTGGTTACCGTTCGTTCGTTTCGTGCGCTCCCCTCCACCATATCTTCAACAAAGTGCTCTGGATACACAATAGGTGCAAACTTCACTACGATAGGTGACGACTTGTAATCATCGATGGGGGCTGAATTTATATGATGAATAACACAACGATGAGAACTTTACTCAACAACTAGCAAATACTTTTTTTGATTAAGAAGATAGACAATAAGGAATTCTATGCGCACGAAGAAATCACAGCCTCGCACAGAATTTAGCCATTGCGATGTTGCCTATTTATTAGCGTGAGCAGGAGCTCCTAGAAGCTAAGCAAAATGTGCACGACAAACAGGACGCGATTTAACCGCATCCACGGCATCAGATAACATAACTAGGAAGCTGTAACTAGAGGAGGCTAATAAGTGAGGTAAATAATGTAGAGACGAACAGCACTGCAAACATGCAACAGCACGAACGTTGAGTTTTGACTGAACAGGAACAAATTTTCCCGAAACACGTGGCGTTGCAGGAAAATCCATACGACCTCGGCGAACAACAACAGCAGCGGTATGATGGGTTCGATGAGTCATCATCTTATCAAGAACAATGTGCACCAGCTATGAAAATAGGACCATACAATTTGTTATTTAATTAGTATAATGAAATGACTTGAGTTTTTGCTATGCTATTTAGTGATTTCTATAGGTTTACATGGGAATATCTGGCGGAAAGATTCCTTATTCTTGCAAGGAGTGGATTTGATCAATGATGAAAGCGTCACTTGTTAGCCACTCCCCCACATTTCGAGTCCTACATTCCTTACATTTCTGATCGTAAACGGACGCTAGCGCTCGCAAAATGTAAACTAGTGATATTCACGAATTTTCTCTTCAACTTTCCTAGAACTTCTAATCTTTTCAATTACGATGACCCTCGTGTAAGCATCCTTCACTTGACTGTGTAGGCTTAACATGAATCCGAATATTGGCCTAAAATTCGCAAACGCGTCGCTCCAGCCAGACTTACCGCTGAGCGCTCTTCTGATGCTGCAAGCAGAAGAGATGGTTGGGCCTTCGCGGCAATGACTTCCGAGCAATTCTGGCAAATGCTACATGGCCGAGAATAGGGAAGATAAGGTAGGGAGGAATATGCCAAATCTCTGCAAAAGGCGCTAGCAGTAACTGAACAGCACGAACTCCAAAATGATTCCTTAGTCCAAAAGAGGCAAAAGAGTTGTCGTTCCCAAATATCGTGCACTGGCAGAGGATTCGTTTCACAAGAGTTGAGATTGAGAAAAAAAAATTATCGGTTCCCTGACAGTATACGAAGGAACTCTGAAACGACACCGCGGGAATAGAGATCTAGGCCTTCGCCCCTCATGGAATCTACAAAGGCGACCATCATAATCGAAAAATTCATGTCCCAACCAAAAACTACAGAAACCTAGATGACGTGCCGTTGCAGGATGAGAAAGCTATTTACAGAATAATGTGCCAGCAAGAGAGTTCTCGAACATTTTAAGAAAGCTGGACAGGAACTAGGTACAAACACACGCTCAAATCTATTCACATTAAATTAGTGCTATCGAAAAATATTGCCACGTGAAAAATGGAGAAACATAAAACCCAAACGAACCGAACTTGTGCTTTCGGGAACGGCGGAAGCAGTTGAGCGAATTACCCATAAAAGTATAGCATAAGCAACCAGTGCACAGGAACAACACAACTACAACCACGAACCACGACGTGACCACTTCACCGGATACGAACTCAACTGCAAAAGTGAAAAGCGGATATGGGGAAGGAAGTTCAGTTTCAAAGAAGGCCGATATTTAAGCACCATAAAGAAGAACATAGCAGCCATGTAATATTAAAACAACTGAACACCGCAAAAAATGAACATTAGTCTTCAACGAGACTTCACAGGTGATGGCCTCAGATCAACAAAAGAAATCAGACCATAACAAAACCCTAGAGGACGACAAGAAGGTGCATCTAATATAACCTAGAAAGGACCAATGAATCCAGCCAAATGACGAATGATAGGGCAGACCCATGGGTTGATCGTAGGATAAGGGAATTCATGCGATGTTATTTGACAGAATAAACTGCATGACACTGACAGCAAAATGCACATGACCAAATCAAAACCTTTCATGACCAATAGAGGAAATGGATTCATGGAATAAAAACGTATTACGACCACATCAATCTGGCGAAAACGACTTATGGTAAGCACTAGACACCACTATGAGTACAACGACGAGATAGCTTGCACCAGAACAGAAACTTTCGAAATAGGTAGAGAAGCAGCTCCCTACGAGCCAATTAATTAATACTATAAACTGAAATCTGTATGAAGATCATAGAGGGGAATTGCTACTTAAAAATCACGTCGAAGCCGAAGTAGTAGCTCATAGATCATGTCGTACATTAAAGAAACCCTTTCTTAATACTTTGAGCCAGCACAGAGCCCCTTGTGCTCTTATACAGGGGTGGCCAAAAAAAGACACTTCACTCACATTCAAAACGGAATTATTTACGCGTCGCGAAACCAAACCAAATGACCCCAACTGAATATTGAAGAGCACGTTATAATCTATCAACAAGCTACACAACAGCCTTCTACACCGACGACATCAGAAGATTTTCCCACGGAAACATGGTCACGGTACGAGCTCAACGAGGTCGTCGAGGTACCATAGACATTACGACGTCCTCTGAAACGCTGGTCAAAAGCGGTTTTGCATAGTCACAGCTAATGTCTCTGGGAAGCTATTCAACAGTTAATTCATTGAAGAAATTATGTAGCAGCTTCAGGCCGGAGCGATTACGGTAAGCCTCGTTGAGCTCGACGGTGACGTCATATTCTGAAGACGGCGGGGGCAGTGAAGGAGGGCCTGCTTCTGTTTACGGGGAACACCTAAGGAATATTCCGCCGTAAAACTTTCATTAACATCGGCTCCCTGTGCGACGAAAAGTTCGATGATGTGCGCCATGGGCTAAGTGTCTCTTTTTTTTGGCCACCCCTGTAAATTGATAGATCGCATGGGAACACTTGGCAGTAGGATGACCAACACAAAGTTTTAGCGTCCACTGCGCTTATTGGGTTAGAACTGTACTAGTTTCGAAAAATTGACTTAAACGCGCATCTACGCGGTCCACATGAATTTCCAGCCGGTCTAAGAATGAGTTTTCTTGATTTTTTTTTGTTTCCTTCTTATTTTTCTTCGCAGTTAGCGAGACAGAATTCATCATAAGCGTGTGAAAAGGGCAAGAACACCTTGGTTGAGCCGGGATTGGTGCAAGCACCCAGGCCCTGTGCAGAGGACGTGCAAGTGAGCAAGCAACGAGACAAAAAAATCAAATAGGAAGCAACTCAGTGGATGACACCCCCATGCACATGCACAAAGCAACACCATGAAAACTCCTTGCCTTGTGAAAGAGACAGCTTAGCACAGCAGACAGCAGCAGACAATTTGAGAAGGCATATTAATAAGCAGTTTAATTGACACAATACAAAATTAATAGCTCACCAGATAAAGCAAACTCAGCTCGTATTAGCTCAGAGGAAACCACTTCACCTAAATATTTCCATGAAGATGAATAAAAATAACTACATTTCACATTGTAAATCATTGAAAATAAGCATACTACCGCCATCGGACCACATCAAACACACCAGCGCACTGGAAAACTTTATTGCAATTTCCACAAAAACAAAGACAGCTATGCTGCGCAATTTATAACAACATTGAGCAAAAAGATTATGAGTAAGGCAGATCAGTAACAAATTCTGTATTGTAATGTCATCATAAACGATGCCACAAGGCCATGTTAATCGAACCATGAAAACGGATTCCAATACATGCCATGAAAAATTAGCGTAATATCAATATAAAGGTGGCAAAAATGAGAAAGACACACGGTACAAAACAGCTACGCCTGACTATTTTCTCTGTACCGAGACCTAATAGAGCTACGAGCAGATGAACTTCTGTGGAGAGGACCAGCACTTTTCGATCGTTTATGAGTACCACTGTCCATAGATGGTTTGCGACTTATTGTTGAGCCAGTCCTTCTGCGATCCCCAGTGGTGGATCCTTTTTCAATACCATGGTGGTACCTTAAAACAGAGAAGCAATTCACAATCTCCTGAACAAATCCTCTGAGGAATAAAAGTAAAATTGAACAAATCAACTCACTTTGCTACGCTTGTGGCTCGTAAAGTATTGTATGGACTTGCAACAAAAATACTGCTTGGAGACTTTCGGTGGAGCGATAGTGTTGAACAGCCCGGGATTCTGCATAACATTATATTACAGTATAATAACAATACGCTTTGTTGTCCGTCGTCACCCTTGTGTTGAGAAAATTTCAACCAATACGATTGCAAAGAAGCAGAAAATGAAATAAAGTTGCTGAAACGAAGTATTGAGCAGTAGGAAGTTGAGCCGTTTCTCGAATGGATTGGAGGCCTATCGCAAGATACGGTGGGGGCATGTGACAGCAAACTGCAAAAACACTTCCATTGTGTTAAAAAGAGACTAAAAGTAAGCCCTAGACGGTGGAAAGAGAATTCTAGGAAGCGTGAGCCATCATCACTTTTCCCAGAGTTTCCTCCTCTCTTCCGGCTGAGTTGCCCCCCCCCCCTCCCTCAATGTTACGTTAGCGCCTGACCGCAACCGGTAGAATGAGCATTTCGAAAACATTAATAGGCTTGTAGGTTCACAATCCCCCCTCAATTCAAACACTAGCTCAAACAATAAAAGCAAAAAGAGACTGGCAAAAAAAATATTCTGTGACAGATGAGGTACTACCCTGGAACCCGAAAGCGAGACAAAGGAAAACGGTCAGATGAAATATATATGTATTCGCTGCATTGTCGACCCTCATCGCGCATGGAATTGAGAATAAATTCCTCCAATCAAACATGACAGTCTAGAAGAAAGACTTACACTGGTGGATATAACTTCATTTCATCGTGGGGACGAACAATGGACGAGTGAGCATATTTGTTCTCCAACACAGGATAAGCTGGAGGAGGGAGCGGTTGATACGGATGCTTTTTCGAAAACTGAGGAACTACCTGAAGCACGAGTGATTTGCTTGCCGGGTCATAGCTTGAAGATTAACTAATCGAAATTCTTTTGCG